ACAGGCTGTGCCGCACTGTCAAGACTGTTTTTGATAAAAGCTGACGGCGTCTTTGCAAAGCCTTTTTTTTTTTGTTCAGTACTCCAGCTTGTGAGGAAAGCATTCAACAAAGAACACCTGTGTGAAAAACAGTTTTATGTCCTACTTGGGTTCATGAGAACAGAACATTCTGAAGTTCAAATCAAGAACTGAAACTTGTCCATTTTGTTACAGAAAAAAGTCCCCATCTGCTCAGACCTAATGGTTGTCATCAATATTTCTAGAAAATCACTGAACCATGTCTAACACCCCTTCATTACCAAAGGTAATGTTCTTGCCTGTGTCTGTGAATGTGTTTGTTGTTCTGCACCGTTAGTAAAATATCTCATAAACCAGTGGATGAAATTCAGAACGCAATCATTAACTGAACATCTTTAACTGATTAACTTTTGGAGTCAACCCAGTTCAAGATGGCTGCCACAGCTAATCAACCTTAGCTTACACAAAATGGCTGTATCTTAGTACATTTTACAGATACAAAGCTAACATCTTTTGTGGTAGTAGCTGACAGTCATTTGCAACACATACGCAGAGTGCCAACGTTGCCACTTTAAAAAAAAGGTTTTACTCAAAAGTAAACTACTCTGTCATTTCTCAGCATAAGATGATCTTGATCTTGGCATTAAAAGTGTGATGTGTCCCACCATAGATTTATCTATGCTGGCCAAGACCACCATAGATAAATCTATGGCCAAGAAAAGACCACCATAGATTAATCTATGGTGGTCTTGCTGCAACAACACATCATTAGTAGGGTTAAACTAACCTGTCTCATCACAGTCTAAACCCAGCTCATGTTCCCTATTACTGGGTGAACAATCCAACACTTGGTGAATTCTGCTTAACCATTGGGGCAACTGTGAGTGGTTAGATCGCTCACCCTCCAGTGGGGGACTAGGGGGTTCAATTTCACCAGCAGTCACATGTTGAAGTGTCCCTGGACAAGACACTGAACTCCTCAATGCCTCTGATGTGTGTTCCATCAGTGTATGAATGGGATAAATCTCTGATTAGTCTCTATAAATTCAGATGATCTTTGTAGAGATATAGTAGAGTGCTGTATGAATGTGTGTGGAGGTAAATGAAAGCACATATTGTGTTGTAAAGAACATTGAATATCTTGATTAGATAGAAAGGCACTATATAAGTACAGTCCATGTAACATGTAGTATATGTATGTATGTACAGTATGTATGGTAAATGGTAAATGGACTACATTTATATAGTGCTTTTCTATCTTATCCAGATACTCAAAGCACTTTACAACACAATCTAATGTGAATTTGTAGAAACTAATCAGTGCTTTATCACATTCATACACCAATGGGACACACATCGGAAGCAGTGTCTTGCCCAGGGACACCTCGGCATGTGACTGCTGGTGGAATCAAACCCCCATCTTTTGTACTGGAGGATGACTGCTCTAACCACTCAGACGCAGCCGCCCATGTACTGTATGTATGTATGCATGTATGTATACCAACCACCCCAATCATTTGAGTAAACTATGCTTTCTAATTTTTATATTGTTTAAGACTATAGTTTCCTCAACTAAATGGGATGGACCTTGGTATGGTCAAAGATACATTTTTTATGGTGAACTTGCAATCACTGTTCAATTTTAGTCCAGAAAAACATTCATCTTGAAAACTATAAACATTTCCTATTGGAATTCCTTGTTGAAAGGTTACATTGGCATATTGCTTGTATTTAATGAGCTAAAACTTGATGCGTTAGTAGATGAGTCATTAAAAACACACATTTTTAGCTAATGTCTCACAGTATTGCATTTATGTGTATGTATGTATGTATATATATGTATGTGTATATATATATATATATATATATATATATATATATTTTTTTTTTTTTTTTTTTTTTTTTTTTCAAGATTTAAATAAAATGTTTTCAACTCTTATCTCACATAAACAACACAGGATAACCTTCTTCTAAACTGCCGCTTGGTGCCATTTTCCGGAAACACAACATGCCCTTCCACTTTTACGCCGATGACTGTCAAATTTACTTCCCCCTAAGACACAATGGTACATGCTCTATTCAACCTCTGCTCGACTGCCTGGCTGACATCAGGGACTGGATGGCTTTAAACTTCTTAAGTTTCAATGAAAAGAAGTCTGAAGTCATGTTGTTCCCTCCCAACAACACGATCACAAACCACCGTATCGACCTCTCCGCTCTAACCCTGTCAGAAAAACAAAGAGTCACTAATCTGGGCGTGATAATGGACCCTTCCCTGAAACTTAACAATCATGTAAACATGATTGTTAAATCATGTTTCTTCCAACTGAGGCAGCTGTCTAAACTGAAGCCCATACTGTCCAAAAAGAACCTGGAGACAGTAATACATGCATTCATTACATCTAGGCTTGATTACTGCAATTCACTCCTGTTTGGCATCAGTCAGACCTCCATTGCACGACTGCAACTGGTCCAGAATGCAGCAGCCCGATTTTTAACCAGTACAGGCAAAAACGAGCACATTACACCAGTTTTGGCCTCACTGCACTGGTTACTGGTTCACTTTCAAATCCAGTTCAAAATACTCATGTATGTCTACAAATCACTGAACAGTGTTGCCCCCCCCATCTCTCTGATCTGCTACAACCGTATGTCCCACCACGTTCCCTGAGGTCAGCGGACCAGTTGCTCCTCACAGTTCCAGGATCTCATCTTAAGCGCAGAGGTGACAGGGCCTTCTCTGTAGCAGGACCAAGACTCTGGAACGAGTTACCTCTGCTTGTCAGACAGGCCCCCTCCCTCTCAGTTTTCAAGTCCCGTTTCAAAACCCACTACTATTCAGTAGCTTTCAACACCAGATGATCTGTGTTTTGATCCTGTATGGTCCACACTGGTTTGCCGTCATTATCTGCATCGTTTTTTGTCTATATTTTGATTTACCTCATTTTGTATTTTGCTTTGTGTGTTACCTGTTGTTCTGTCTGTACAGCACTTTGGTTGGCCTTGTCGCTGTTTTAAGTGCTTTATAAATAAAGTGGTATGGTATGATAAACTGCTGGTGTGAAAGGTGGTTCCTTTAATAAACGCTGGGTCGTTGATCGTTTCTAAAGCTTTGAGATTTCACTTTCCTCTTTTTCTTTGTTTTCTCTTTGGACCTTTCCTGCACAGAAATGCGAGGCTGCGACAGCTTGTGAAGCCTGTAATTGAGTGTGTCCACCCACCGTGTTGCGGCAGGGACGGCGCAGTGAAAGGCTTCATCGTGTCAGACACAATTGATACGTGCACACACTTATCACACCCTTCTCGAGCACAGCATTTAAAACCCATCAGCTCAGAGATGCCACCGTGGGGCGTGTTGTTGTGGGTTTTGTTACTAAACTTTGTCACTTGTCAGTAATGAAGAAAAAAGTAATTTTTATCTGATTCTTACCAACACACCGAGTTATAATCTGTACAGAGAAACACAAGAATGGGACAGTACCAGACACAACTAAAGCATCAACACAAGAAATATTTTAAGGCAAAATTTAAAATTTACTGTCTTTAGTTGCCATGGTTGTTTTTTTTGAGACCACACACTAAATCATATGAACTAACAACATGCGTATCTGTTCAACACCTGTTTTATTAGCCCAGTTATGTTCAGAGTTGTTGCATGAAGGCAGCTTGTAGTAAAGTGTGTCAAGAATAGATAAATGCTGGTTTCCTGTTAATTGTGTTTTTTTATCAGTCTTTTGGTCAAGTCACACAAATAAATGCAAGTGTGTTTGTCTCGACACATGGTCTGAGACGTGACGATGAAAATGCTTTCTTCTTCTTTTACATAATTCTTTCATGAAAGAATAGTACAACATATATTTTACAATGGATTTTCTTTTCTTGCCATTTGTCTTCAGGACATCAAATTACTTTATTTTGCTGGGTTCGGTCTCTTGCAGCCATGAGTAGAGCAAAGTTTTAGACATTTCTCAGCCTTTCAAAAAGTAAAATAAAAAAAAAACCTGCTGATTTTAGTTTTGATGCAATATTATTAAGATCATAGTTAACAATGCTGGTATTTCTAGGTAATCATGCTAGGTTTTTTTTTCCACTCAGCAGTAACTAGTTGTTTTCTCTTCCAAATTTCTAGATGATTATGGTACAAATAATGATCAATGGGTTGATCAATGATGGATGTTCCTTCATGAGGACCTTTTTGTCCCCCATTTCAGCGTGAAGAGGGGGAACTGGAAATATTCTCTTACTGTCTGTGCATGTTGTGAGCATGATAACTTGAAAACAAAGTAATGTACAGTCTTACATTTTGGTGTGTAGCAACATCCAGACGTATGAAAGTTTCATTTTAAAAAGTGGGTTGTCACATTTAAATCCAAGATGGCCACCGCCATAAACATAAAATATGTAGACCGTCAACCCCGATCATTTGAGGAAACTATCCATCCATCCATTATCTTTACCCGCTTCTTCCATTTTCAGTCACGGGGGTCGCCGGTACCCATGTCCAGCAATCACTGTGTGAGAGGCGGGGTACACCCTGGATGGGTCTCCAGTCCATCACAGGGACACAGAGACAAACGAGACAAACAACCATTCACTCTCTCACTCACACCTAGGGGCAATTTAGAGTTACCAATCAGCCTAACATTTATGTTTTTGGTCTGTGGGAGGAAACCAGAGTACCCAGAGAAAACCCACCCATGCATGGAGAGAACATGCAAACTCAACCCCGAAAGGCCCCCAACCGGGATATGATCTGGTGACCTTCTTTCTGAGATGTAGCATCACTACCAACTGCGCCACTGTGCCGCCTACTTGAATATCTTGCATCAATAACATTTTCTTGCATTCTCTGATCAACTCCTGTCCAGAAAATTACCAATCTCAAAAACTACAAAACATTCACTATTCAAATCCCTCAGTGTTGGGGGATATCGGCATACTGCTTGTTGTTCCCTAATTTTTGTCCTTTTCTTTGTGTTTAGTGAGCTTTGCAGGAGTCAGACCATATTGGAGGAAACTGGAAAGACAGAGGAGGAAACGATGGAGTCCATAATGTCGGAGCAGTCAGCCACGGTGGACGAGCTGGTGGAAGCGTGCATCCAAGCCTTTGGTTTGTCAATGAAATAATTTATGAGAATTGAACCTGAGGAGCTAAAATAATTTTTACATTATCTTCATAGTTAATACTCTGACTAAATTATGATTAATATATTCAAATGCTCTGTTTAAAGATGAGAACGGCACTTTGAAGGATGCTTCCTTGGTTCGCATGTTCCTCATGATGCACCCGTGGTACATCCCATCCACTGAGATGGCTAAGAAGCTGGTGGTCAAGTATCCTTTCATTCTGCTCTTTTTTGCAGATATATTGTTTGACTGTTGCTAAAATGCAAGAATGTTGTCACCTGTGACTGTGTTTTATTAACAAAACATCTCATACACTACTGGATGGCATTAAATTAATATTTTAGAAATTAATTACTGGACGTACAACCTGTTAGTTTGCAGAATCAATCTAATTCCAGATGGTTTCTACAGTTACCCAACCTATTAAACACTAAATGTGTAGAAGATAATGAGCTCCAGTTTCATATGGTACCAGTTGATAGCCGTATACGTGTACATCCAGAGTATACATACTCTGAGTGCTGATTGTGCAAGGTATTGCAATATTATTTGAGATTGCGCGTAACATTACTTTCAAGGTTTGAACAAAATGCTTATAACTCCATTCTTTTATAACAGAAGATTATATCAATTTAACACTGGCTTTAAAGAAAGTATGCATTCCTTCACGGAACACCAGACCTTTGTTTTTAGCTTATTAACCAGGACAACCCCTCCAATCCTCTGGTTCCTCTGTTTTAGCTGACAAAGCAGAACAGTAACTTCTGGTGATTCTGGTTTTAGTAGCTACTGTACGCACTGAGACTGTGGAATGGTCTGCCAGAGGATCTGAGAAGAGTCCATAATCTAAATACTTTTAAAGTTAGACAAAAAAGCCATCTGTTTGATCTGATTTTTACATAGGATAGCTTTTTTTTTGTTTATTGTTCACCACCGTAAAGCACTTTGAATTGTGTTCCACTTACTGTATATGAATTAAAGAATTAAAGCTTGGTTGATTGATTAATTTTTGTGGCTAAGTGTTCACAGTTATACTTGTTAAGATTGTTTTTGGAAGGTTTGGCTTTAAAGATGGCTCTTTTTTATTATCCGTATTGTTCTCCCAAATCTTTCTAATTGGAAATCAGATTTTAGAGGGAGTCAATGTGTATTTCAAGAGGTTTATATGTTGGATATAAAGCCGATTTTTGAAACTTGTTACACCTTAACCTGCGGACAAGATCTCAAGAAGAGAGCTGCACTGAGCGTCGGACAAGAATATGTCACCTTGTCAAGTAATAATCTTGTAATCTTATTTTAAGACAAAAACAATCATCACTTCATAACTTTTGTTTCCTTGGTCTTCCTCAGTCTTTTTTTTATGTGTTCCTCCCTGAGACTTTTAACTTAACATTGTGGTGGGAAGAAGAAAACCCATGGTACCAGACACAAATAATTTGACAAAAAACCTGAAAGTCCTTCCTTTTTGTAATACCTGCGGTGATGCAGGTCCTGCCGAGCTGATGGCTGCCTTTTAGAAGAAGAAAGTGCTATGAGTTGTCATCAGTGTATGTTCCCCAATGACGAAATTAGTTCTCTGCATTTAGTCACACCTGAGATACACCCAGGTGGAGCAGTGGGCAGCTATGTAAGTGCCCAGGGAGTAGTTAGGGATTAGGCGTCCTGCTCAAGGACACCACGACATGTGGCGAGGAGTTGAGCCTGTGACTTTCTGGTCCCAAGTCGGCTGCCCTACCTCTACACCACAGCGGCCCCATTGTAGAGAAGGATTCCTTTGCTGCATTGCCATAGACTACCTGTTCTTAACTGAAGACACAAATCACTCAGAAAATAATAATAATAATAATGTCATCACAATGTCAGCACTGTATGTTTCCATACAATGGCGAAATTAGTCTCTGCATTTAACCCATCCACCACCAGGTGGTGCAGTGGGCAGCTATTGAAAGCGCCCGGGGGACATTTTTGGGGATTAGACGTGCTGCCCAGAGACGCCACGTGATGTGCAGTGACTGGGGATCGAACCTGGGACTCTCGGGTCCCAAGCCGGCTGCCCTGCCTCTACACCATCTCGGCCCCAATGCTGCTGGCAATGCAAAACTGTTGTGGGAAGAATACTTCCCTCATTGGACAATTGTTCCTAGAGAAGAAAGGAAAGTGAGACTGGGCCACTCGATTTGTGTTTTTTGTGTCTTTTATAATAAAGAAAACATCAGAGAGACATTCTGCAATTATAAAAAGTTGATGGAAAGAAGAAAACCATAAAATGTGTGGAGCTGTTCAGGGATAATCCATAGTGTGTCTAACAGTTGTCAATAGTTTGGATCAGCTAAAACTTCAGTTGTAGAGCATGAAGACTGGAGAAAAAGCTAAAAGTCCTCATCCTGGCTAGGTCGTTGGTTAGCCAAACAAAGGCCAGTTGCTTTTGTCCCATCATGGAACAAAAAGGAAGAGTTTGAAATACCCTCCGTCTGTTCGGGCATGTTGTGAACATGGCAACTAGAAAAATAAGTGAGATGCCAACTTCCATTTTGTTGTGTGGCTGCAACTAGGCATAAGAAAGTTTATTTTTCAAAATTGGGTTGCCACATCAAAATACAAGATGGCTGCCACTATATATGTATATACGTTAACCTTGTGAGCTGGTAAACATGAAAAATAAATGAGGTATTGATGTCCGTTTTACTGTGTGGCTGCATCTAGGCATAAGAAATCAAAAATTGTGTTGCCAAATGAATATCCAAGATTGCCACCAACTATCTGTTTATCTAAACTAGCCACCACAATCATTTGAGTAAACTACGCATGTTAATTTTTATATTGTTTAAAAGTACAAGTTCCTCAAATGATGGTCTCTGAGACATGCAGTAACAGTGACAGACTGGTGAGCGTTGGGTTAAAGGTTAGCACCTTTTTCCTTTCTCTCCATACTGAATCGATAAAGCAGACCAAGCGATAGAGTTTCTACAAATTATTGGGGTGACTGGAGATCAATCTATGGTGGTCGAGGCCACCATTGGCCACCCCCTGGCTCTGCCATTGCACCTGGTGGTGAATAAAACTGCTTCCTCTACTCGACAGGATCTATCACTCTGCGCTGCCTCAGACAATTAAAAAATAAATTAAAAACCTCCACGGTATACACATTGTAACTCCTATCCACTTGAATGTCTTGCATCAAAGATAAAGGTTTACTCACATTCCTTGTTTAATACCATCCATCCATCCATCCATCCATTATCTTTACCCGTTTATTCAATTTTGGGTCACGGGGGTTGCTGGTGCCCATGTCCAGCAATCACTGTGCGAGGGGCGGGGTACACCCTGGACAGGTCGCAAGTCCATCACAGGGCCACATAGAGACAAACAAGACAAACAACCATTCATTCTCTCACGCACACCTAGGGACAATTTAGAGTTACCAATCAGCCTAACATGCATGTTTTTGGTCTGTGGGAGGAAACCAGAGTACCCGGAGAAAACCCACGCATGCACGGAGAGAACATGCAAACTCCACCCAGAAAGGCCCCTGGACCGGGGTTTGAACCAGGGACCTGTTCACTGAGAGGCAGCAGCTCTACCAGTTGCACCACCGTGCTGCCCTTGTTTAATACCAGTTAAAAAAAAAAACAACACTCATTTAGAAAACTAAAAACGTTCACTTTTCAAATCCCCCAGCGAGGGGAGATTTCAATTGTTTTTGAGCTCTATGAAACAACTCCTCCTCAAAATGACGTACTGGTGTGAAAGAATGTTACAGTGATAATTACTACACCTCTGCTCTTTTACATAACATGGTTTGTTAAGTTTGTTGAGGTTTCCTCAACCGAACAACATTCGTGTTACTATGCAAATATTTGTACGGAGCAAAAATAGACCTTGTATGTGCCAATGGTGCTGCTGAGTGTCACAGTTCCCTAACACTTTAGACAGACTGGTTACTCTGACAGTGTTGCCAAATGTACAATGAATATTGTATATCACATCACATATTCATATGACAATAAACGTAAACCTTTTCCTTTAGGTCTGTCAGTATACAGTTTGTCATCATCTGTCTGCCTTTCTTCTTTTGATCTTTCTTCCAGGTACTGGATTTCTGAGTTTCCAGCGGAGTTCAATCTCAACCCCGAGCTTTCGGAGCAGATGAAAGACTTTAAAGACCTTCTGACCACCGAGGGCAACGAGCGCCAGAGTCAGCTCATCGACCTGGACAGCGTGTGAGTGAAATGGCTGCTAAACGCTGCACGTGACTGAACACCAGTCACTGCAGATGTCATGTTGTCTTATTGCCTGTTGATTGATGACACTGAGCTGCCGAGAACAACAATAAATGATTTAAATGTGACATCAGCTTCACTTTTCGACTAAATGGGAGCTTATGTGGCAGATTTTTCTCCAGCAAATTGTTTTCTTGAGCCTTACTCTGTACCAAAAGGTAATTTTCAGATGTTTTAACAAGCTTGTGGGATCATTTTTGCAACAACTATAAAGCCAAGCCTCTTGAATTTTATGAAGATGCTAAAAAAAAAGAGCTATAAAGACAAACTTTGTTTTTTCATCCCTCTCAGGCCATCATATAAATGGAAACGGCAGGTGACTCAGCGTGTCCCTTCCATGTCCAAAAAAAGGAAAATGTCCCTGCTGTTCGACCACCTCGATTCCTGTGAGCTGGCTGAACATCTGACTTTCTTGGAGTACAAATCATTCTGCAAGATCCTGGTCAGTTTGAGCACAGCCTGCAATGAAGCAATGTGTCCAGTCTGGTGTAGTTTATAGCTCTTGAATACTTTGAATTCTTTAGTTGTGACTTGCCACATGTCCACTGTTGTTGCTAAGCAATAGTAACTAAAATCCATTTTCACTGGGCAGCATTTACTATTTTCTCATGAAAGTGCTATTTTGGATAGCAAAAGAAAGTGTAATGTAAGAAAGATTTTTTAATTTATTATATTTTAGCCATTTTAATCAAGATATATCAGAATTAGATCACTGTGCTTCTATTTATCCAAATTCAGACTAAAAAGTCTACAAAAGAAATGTCCTTCAAAGTGTGCAACTTAATTGGGAATAGTTTGCTGTGGATTCTGACAACAGTACATTTGAAGGCATAAACCAAATTAGCTAAACAATACAAAGCTAATTCACATGCACAACAGAGAAACTTTTGGAGAATTGAGAGAAAACCCAGCGTTCTTTGGATTGTTGTAGCTCAGACATTTTCTCCAGTAAAAACATTTTTCAAAGTATTGAAGAGCATGCTCAATAATCCAGGTAAAAGATCCAACAAAGTTAAGTCAGGTCCTCTGAATGAATTCTTTTTGTTGAAACGTTTCGTCTTTCATCCAAAAAACTTAATCAGTCTGAGAAGCCACAACAAACTCAGTCAGTGTTAAAGACAAAAATAAACGGACAAAAGTTAACCATCCAGAGGACCTGATTTAACTTTAATCTGGATTATTGAGCATGAACTTTGATGCTTTGAACCACTTTGGCCATGGCTGTCTCAGACGAATCGATGGGGAAGAGGGCGGACTACTGAAACCATCTTATCACCATCAAACTGGTTGGCCCACTATGTGAGTGTGCTACCTATGGGACTGAGTTTGTTGTGGCTCCTGAGACTGCGGAAGTCTTTTGGATGAAAGACGAAACGTTTCAACAAGAAGAAACCGTCCAGAGGACCTGACTTCACTTTGTTGGATTTTTCAAAGTATAAATGAAGTCACAGAATGTTGTCTTTACATAACTGAGCTAGCATTTCATGCATTTTTACAACAGTCGTTTAAGTTTTATGATGTTTTTAAATTATACGATAAATTGCGTAACTAAATTTGAAGATGTCACGTGCCCTAACTTCTGAGTTCTCGTCGTCTTCTTTTGGCTTTTGCCTCTTCAGGGGTCTCCACAGTGAGTCCGCTGCATCCTCTGTCCTCACTCCAACTACCTCCATGTTCTCTCTAACTGCATCCATATATCCCCTCTTTGATCTTCCTCTTTGTCTTTTTCTTAGCAGCTACATTTTGAACATCCTACATCTAACGTTCTACCAATATACCATACCTCCTCCCTCGGCACCCTGTCATATGCTTTTTCTAAATCCATAAAGACACAATGGCGTTCTTTCTGACTCTCTCTGTACTTCTCCATCAACATTCTCAAAGCAAAGATGGCGTCTGTTGTGCTCTTTCTCTGCATGAAACCATACTGCTGCTCACAGCTACTGTAAGTCTAGCTTCCACACCTCTCTCCCAGATCTTCGTGTCAGAGTCAGACATTCTTTATTGTCACAATTATGTACACAGGGTCCCAGTTACATCCAACAATAAAAATGTGAAAGGAAACAATGATACCATCTAAAATATGAACTAAGAAAAACATCAACTTATTATACACTAAGTACTAATAGCATAAAAACATTACGTCGAACAGCAGCACAAACATAAGTCTGTGTGAGCAGATGAGCATGCATGAACACATCAACATGAAACAGATCAGCAGCAACGTGATGTGATTTTTCACAGTGATTATTCTGGTTAGATATTCATGAGTCTAACAGCCTCAGGGTAGAAGCTGTTCCTCAGTGTAGTGGTTCTACACTTAATGCTCCTCAACCTCCTTCCTGAGGAGAGCAGGGCAAAAAGTGTGTGTGCCGGGTGAGTGGGGTCCTTCATGATGCAGGTGGTCCTCTTCCTGCATCTAGAGGTGTAGATGTCTGTGATGGTGGGGAGGCTGACTCCAACAGACTTCTGTGCAGCGTTCACCACTCTCTGCAAAGTTTTTCTTTCTGCAGCTGTGCAGCCTCCATGCCACACATTGATGTTGGAGCACAGGATGCTCTCCACTGCACACCTGTAGAAGGTGAGGACTGAGCTTCCCAGACTAGCTCGTCTCAGCCGTCTGAGGAAGTAGAGTCTCTGAGTTTTCTTGATCAGGCTGGTGGTGTTGTTGCTCCAGCTGAGGTTGTCATTCATGTGTACACCCAAGTACTTGTAGCTGGAGACCACTTCCACCGCAGATCCTATGTTCAGAGGGGTATAGGTGTGTTTGTTCCTTCTAAGTCCACAATCATCTCCTTTGTCTTCTTCACATTGATGTGAAGGTTATTCTCTTTGCACCAGCTCTCCAGATGTTCCACCCCTTGCCTGTAGCTGGACTCATCATTGTTTGTGATGCATCCCAGCACCACTGTATCATCTGCAAACTTTACAATGTGACAGCCTGGATGGGTAGTTGCACATTCATACATGAGCAGAGTGAATAGGAGAGGGCTCAACACACATCCCTGAGGAGAGCCAGTGCTGAGGGTTATGGAGGTGGAAAAGTTGTGGATCTTTACTGACTGTGGTCTGTTTGTTAAGAAGTCTAGTGCCCAGTTTCAAATGGAAGGGCTTAGTCCTAGTGTGAATAGTTTGTCCATCAGAGTTTTGGGGATCATGGTGTTGAAGGCAGATGTGAAGTCCACAAAGAGCATACGGACATAAGAGTCCTTCCTGCTCTAGGTGGTTGAGAGCAGTGTGGACCACAGAGGAGATGGCATCCTCTGTTGATAGGTTCTCGCAGTATGCATACTGATGAGGGTCCTCGTTGATGTTGATGGTTGTTTTGATGTGAGTCATGACCAGTTTTTCGAAGCATTTAGTGACTATCTAAAGCATTACAGTCACCCATCAAGCACATTATTTTATCAACTGAAGTTATTGAAGTTCCATGATTTGGTAGATTATAGTATTTTATCAGTTATGTATAGAGCTCAAAATAACACATTACCATTAAATATCCAAAGAAATTTAGTCAAAAGACAAAGTTGTTATAATCTTAAGGGGATAGAGATATTTGTCAAACCAAAATTCAGAACTAGTCTGAAGGGAAGGTCTACCTCAATCCAAGGAATTGGATTGTGGAATGGTCTAGAGAGTGATGTTAAAAATGCAAGTCAATATGTACATTTAAGAAAAAGATCAAAACTGAATTGTTAAAAAAATATATATATATAAAGTAGCTTAGTGTGTTTTTGTATTAGAATTAGAAAAATTAAAAAGAGTTATTCATTTTGTTCTGTTACTTGAACATTATTGTGATTAAACTGTTTGAAAAAAGGGGCAGATATAATAAGATTTTTTCTTCTTCTGCTGCCTTTCATTTTAAATATCTTGTATATTTTTTATACTGTTATGGATTTGTTTTGTATTTTTTAAAATTAATAAACTTTATACCATACCATACTATCGGGGTGAGGGCTACTTGCCGATAGTCATTCAGACCAGTCACCTTGCGGCTCATCAATTTAATGCCCCTGTAGTTGCTACAATTCTGTACATCACCCTTGTTCTTAAAAATGGGCACCAGCACACTTCTTCTCCATTCCTCAATCATTTTCTCACTCTCAAATATGCCATTGAATATCTGAGTCAAAAACCTCACTGCCATCTCTGCAAGACATTAACAAACCTCAACTGGTATGTAATCAGGTCCTACTGCCTTCTCCTTTTTCATTCTGTTCAGAGCATTCAGAACTTGATTATCATTAATCTTACCCACTTCCTGGTCCACAGTTTTTATGACCTTTACTCTTTTTTCACATTCATTCTCTTCATTAATTACTGGTAGCTCCTCAAAGTACTCCTTCCGTCGTCCTGTCACACTCTCCTCACTTGTTAGAACATTACCATTCCTATCTTTCACAAGTCTAACCTGTTGCGCATCCTTTCCAGCCTGATCCTTCTGGCTTGCCAATTGGTACAAGTCCTTCTCACCCTCTTAAGTGTCCAGCCTCCCATACAACTCATCATACTTCTCTGATTTGACTCTTTTTCTCTTCTTCACAACAGTCATTCTACACACAACCATCCAATGCTGTCTGGCCACGCTCTCCCCTTCCACAACTTTACAGTCCCCAATCTCCCTCAGGTTTCATCTTCTACACTGAAAGTAGTCTAGCTGCGTACTCCTTCCTCCATTGTAATGGTCACTCTATGTCCCTTCCTCTTTAAAAAATAAGTGTTCACTACAGCCATTTCCAGTCTTTTGGCAAAATCAACCACAATCTGTCCTGCAGATGCAGCAAAACAGGCCCACACCATGATACTACCACTTCCATGTTTCACAGATGGGATAGGGTTCTTATGCATGAATGCAGAGTTGTCCTTTCTCCAAACATAACTTTTTTTTCATTTAAAACAAAAGTTCCATTTTGGTTTCATCCATCCACAAAACTTTCTTCCAACAGCCTTCTGGTTTGTCCACATAATGTTTAGCAAACTGCAGATGAACAGCAATGTGTTTTTGGTTTTCTGCTTCAACTCTGTCATGAACACCATTGTTGTTCAGAGTTCTCCTGATGGTGGACTCATGAACATCAACATTAATGTGAGAGAGACCTTCAGTTGTTAGAAGTTACCCTGGGGTTCTTCGTGACCTCACGACTATTCCACACCTTGCTCTTGGAGTGATCTTTGTTGGTCCAACACTCCTGGGGAGGTAACAATTGGTGGAGTCCAAACTCTTTACAGATGTTTTGGAAACTTCTCCAGCCTGATGAGCATCAACAACTCTTTTACTGAGCTCCTCAGAAATCTCCTTTGCTCATCCATGATCCACTTCCACAAACATGTTGTGAAGAGCAGACTCTGATAGATCCTGTTCTTTAAATCAGAGTGTCCACTCACACCTGATCATCATCAGTGATGGGAAACACCTGAGTCTAATTTCACCTTCAAATTAATTGCTAATCCTTAACTGCTTATATTTAAAGCTCTGCCTCCTTATCTCATTTTAAAGATTAATGGAACAAGTAAACTAGAACGCTTAGAATGGAATATTCCTGTGGTATTAACAAATATGACTAAGGGCTTTGTTTGGAGATTAAATAGAATTCTGAACTTCACAGGCAGCCAGTTGAGTAGTGACCCTAATGAGTCGCTGGCAGGAGCTTTAACGTTTCTTTTGATTTTGGTTCTGTTTGCACTTCTACAGTTTCTACATCAATACATTGCATTTTGTCAGCTGAGATTATTACAAAAGGAAGTCTCAAATTACCACTGGGCTTTAAAAGCAAAAGGGGATGTGTGTTGGGATTTGAAGTTGTAGCTAACAACATTAAAAATTCTTCAAAAATTTTATAGTTTTAACTAAAGAACCATACAAATCTCTCTTAAAAATACACATTCTAATTTTATAACACAAACCATGGAATAGGTATTCCATCACATCATACTGGATCATTTCATTCACAGAAGTAGTAATTTAAATTTGTATGACATTTACTGTATGCTGTAATTTTATGTATTTACTTAACTTTTTTTTATTTTTTTTTAGTTTCAGGACTACCATGGCTTTGTGATGCATGGCTGCACAGTGGATAACCCCATCCTAGAGCGCTTCATCACCCTCTTTAACAGTGTCTCCCAGTGGATCCAGCTCATGGTGCTCAGCAAGCCAACCGCCCCACAGAGAGCCGCCGTCATCTCCCATTTCATCAGAGTGGCACAGGTCTGTCTGCTTGTCCAGTTAGGATCTGCGTTAAAATGTTTGGACCTTGGGGTTGCATGACCATGTTGACTGACTGAGGGTAAGAGTCTGAGACTGGAGGAAAAATAAAGGATTTTTGACGAAGCCTAAAGACCTTAGAGGACTTACACACTCACTGATAGGCCCATGATTACCCTTCTGTTTTAACCAGTTGTAAGAAATAAAGAAAAAATAAATTGTGGGTGACATGGTGGTGCAGTTTAAACTCACACATTTCAGTAAGAAGATCCCAGAATTGCCTCCTGACCTGAGGCCTTTCTATATGAAGTTTGCATGTTATTTGCGTGCATGCGTGGGTTTTCTCCTGGTACTCCAGTTTCCCTCCATAAACCAAAAAAATGCAAGTTAGGTTCACTGGTAGCTAAATTGTCCTAAGTGAGAGTGTGAATGGTTGTTTGTCTCATTTGTCTCTATGTGCCTGTTGGGTCGTTTTCACACCAGATAGTCCGGTAGACTCAGTTCGGTTCAGAACCAATATTCATGACCTTTTGTTTACATTTGAGCTGGTGCGTTTGCATTCACACTGCACTGTGCAGTCGAGTCAACCTGTTGAACCAACCTGTTCCCCCGCTCGCCTGTGGGGGCGCTGCACCGAGAACTACTGAAAGAAACGACACAAAAACCTCTGAAGACACGTCTTCTTCTTCTTCTGTAAATAAAAATAAAAACAAAGTGGCATCAAGTTTTATCAGTTTTAGGAGTTATATTTTGTCATTTTTCAAAAATGGACTTAGCATGAGTAGAAGATGAGACAGAAGACCATGGAGAATATTGTTTTTCACACAAGGCAGCTGACGGCTCCATATAAGGTCAGAGAAATGTGTGTTTGTTTACCCTGCAGAGCGGGGCTCGGTCTGTTTACATTCACACTGTACTCGAACCGCGCTGGAGTTCTCTTCTACCGGACCAAGACCTAGGTTTTAGCCCGGGCCAGAGTTCGCCTTTTTGTTCCGTGACAGAGTTCGATGGCGCGTTCACACCTCCCTAAACGAACCGGACTTTCTAGGAAAACAAGCTAGAGTTCGATTAAAGCGGACTAAACAGGGCTGGTGTGAATGCACCCTTAGAGAATGACACGGGAGACACGGGAGTGGATTTTCACTCCCGTCCTGTCCCACTCCCTCAGAAAAAAATCTTGTCCTATCCCAATCGAAGTCCAGAGTAAAAAAAAACATTTTTGTCCCATCTCACTCCCTTGTAAAATGACTCCTGCTCCTATATATTTATTTTTTTCTTCATTTAGTCTTTAGGAAATACATTGAATCTGATTTGATCTTCTACCCATTCCTTTTTAAATTACTTTGTGTTCTGCAGTTTTATTTTAAAAGATATGATAACAGGAATAGTTCATCTGTGGTGAAATAGAGAGGTATTTATTGCCTTATTCCTAACAAAACCTTCATTAAAGGCCACAAAACATAAATAATACATGGCCTGTGGTCCCTGTTAGTGTTGTAGTACTCGAGACCGGTCTTGGTCTTGAGATCGGTCTCAAGACCACTTTTTGATGGTCTTGGTCTTATCTCAGATTTGACCGCATTTGTTCTCGGTTTTGTCTCGGACTCAGACATTGAGGACTTGGGATTTTATTTGAAGACCAGTCAAGACCACAACTCTGGAAATGTCACTAAATTGCCAGAATATTGTCCAGTTTATTTGTTAACATCGTTGTTTTTATTGGATGCAAAACGTACTGATTCAAATCCAAGAGATAACGTGACTCATTGCTAAATACATGTTTTTGTTACTGCTGTTACGCCCACCCCCTTTCACTCGCACTCGGTTCTGTACCAACAGAACAATACAGACAACAGAATGTAACGTCGCAACCAGGGGTGAAAGTAAGTCAGTACGGTCCAGTACTGCGTACCACTAAAAGATTCTGTATCGTTACTCAGTACCTGGAAGAGAGGGGAGCGTCTGTCTGCTGTAAAGCCTCATTCAGAACCAGTCACGGCTGCACTTTGGGTCAGAATAGATTCGCTAGCAGTAATCAGTCTAAAACACGACTTAATCAATTAATAGCTTTTTATTCTCATTTCAAATTGTTTCTGAACTGTTCGTGCTCTGCTGGAGCCTCAATTCTCTACCACGGTGAAGTTAGTTTTACGTTGGACCTTCGAGCTCCGTGGCTTCAGCGGTGTGTTCCTCTCATTCGATCTGAAGCAGACAGTCTGATTTCAGTCAGCTGAGCTCAGTCTGTCCCTCCTCCGAGACGTAATGGTTCACTTAGGGACTGTCAACAAATTATCGAACCAAACACTCTTCAGAAACAAAACAAATGTATTTTACATCATTTGACCCACTGACACAAAACTAATGTTAAACTACTCAAATAGACCTGACACACAACACACCATCATTTATTTCGCATTTTAAAGCATTTTCTAATTAGTTATTGAGCGAAAACCATGACTTTTGAACAAATAAATTATGTAAAGTTAGAAAATGCTTTAAAATGAGAACTAAATGAGGGTGCCTCATCTGTCAGGTCTATTAGAGAAGTTTAACATAAGTTTTGTGTCAGTGGGTCACATGACATGAAAATTATTGTGCAAAAACCACTGAATGTCTGAATTCTTTGTTACGTAGCTTTGAAAATTTATAAAAACTTATACATTCATTCAAAAGCAAACTGAAAGTTAATGTAACTTTAATAAAAAATATTTTATAAAAGTAATATTTAAGTACATATGTTTTTTTTTACGTATTTATTAAAACTGTCTCTAATACTGATAAAGACAGATAATATGTGAAAAGATTAAGCTCCAAGATTTGAGGTCTTGGACTCGGCGTGATCTCGGACCCCAAAAGTCTGGGTCTTGTCTCGGTCTCGATGCACTCTGGTCTTGACTTGGTTTCAGGTTAGGCGGTCTTGACTACAACACTAGTCCCTATAGTTTTTCTACGGAGGATCAGCTGCAAAGTCCCTGTTTCTAGCTCTTTGGGAGGTCAGTTACAGTAAAAACACAAAACAAACCAACAAGAAAACGGTACATGAGTCATACCTTGTGTACCTTCGCTGAATGAACCCAAACGTAACATGCTGTATAAAGTTGCATTTTACTAATTTATTGAGCAATTGTTTTCTTTAAACAGTGACATTGCTGTCATGTTTGAAATTGCTTAAACCAAACCAAACAAAAATGCACTAAGTAAGAGAACTGTCCTCAACCAACAAAAATGCATAAAGCCATTACATTCATATACTGTACCCGAGTTTTGAAAAATAATAAATTTGCATATAATGCAAATATTAAATAAAAATACAGCTGCCATATCAGTCTACTTTCCCACTCTTTAGCACATTTGAATATTTGTCCATTTGCAAGAAAACACTGCCCAGAAACTAATTAGAGCTAACTATCAGAATCATCACATTCATCTAACATCGAACACGTTTTTGCATAATCAGTCCAGGAACTTTATATGTTGCTATAGGAACAAAAGTTCATCTACATTTTCTGAATTAAGGGTGGAATGCATCTCCTCAATCAGTCTCCCATCATACACTGCCTGTATGATGGACAGAGAGCAGTCTTGGGTGTCCCCTGCCTCTCACAGTGACTGCTGTACAAAGGCACCAGTGACCCCATGACCTAGAAAGGAGAAACGGGTAAAGATGAATGGATGGAAACAAAATATACTTTTTCTAAAAAAAAAAAAAAAGGTTAGAAAGATTTAGAGTTTTAAAATCTATTTAAAGAGATAGTTCAGGTTTTTCATGTGGGTTTTTGCATCGTTTTTATACACCTGTTAAAGGGGCACGTATTATGGTATATTCTCCAACTGTACATTTGTAATATCCTGATTCATGCTCAATAATTCAAGTAGAAAAATCTTACAAAGTTGAGTCAGGTCCTCTGGACGGATTAAAAAAAAAAAAACAAATACAAAAATTAACAAATTAAAAACTTCAACAAAGTCCATGCTCAATAATCCAGGTATAAAATCAAAAATTATAAAATGATTATAAAATCAGGTATAAAAATGAAAAACTTGTTGAAACGTTTCATTTAAAAAAAGGCATCCTATACAAGTCTTTTATCCAAGGCGTCTTTCGGATAAAAGACGAAACATTTCAACAAGATTTTAATTTTTTTAATTTTTTTATTTTTTTGAATCCGTCCAGAGGACCTGACAACTTTTTCAGCTGTACGTCCATAAATTTTCTTTTATCTCTCCATTAATTTCCGGTCCGCTCAAGACAATTTGCCAAAACATCATATACTTATGCATCATCCCTAGACCGAGTTTTGCATTTACTTTTTATCACCCTAGCTCTAAGGTCAAGGTCACAATTCAAGGTCAAAGGTATCCAAGGTATTTGCTTGTTCGGACCATTGCTATAGATTGCCGTAATGTTGTATACTAGTTTTTAGACGGGTGTATAGTGTGCCGTATGGGGTACTCTTGATATATTAGCCAGTATCTTACATTAAACAGCAGTCAAAGAGAGCTCAGTAAGATCATGAGTGAGTCAAGCTAATAAAAACTTAGAGGATGACCTTAATTAATTCCCACCATTAAAAATCAATTCAAACCTCAAACATGTTATTGTGCTTCAGGGGAATGCTATGTTGTGGATTTTTAAACCACATATATTTTCCACCATTTTGCTACTTTGTATTTAACATATTACATGTTAAACAACACTGTTCTTCCTAGTAATGCGTTGCAACCAGCTGCATTCCATTCAAGGTCATAAAGTTTCAACATAAGCAGTTTTCAGTGTGAAAAACATCTTATACAAAGTGATACAAGTGTTTGATTAAACATCCACTTGAACATCTATTACATTTTTGAGGTTTTAGATGTTTTAGATGTGGGCTCTAAGTAGCTGTCTGACTTTTTAATGAGAACTTCTTTCAGTCTCACTGCAGCATTTCTTTCAGAGTATGTGTTGTGAATGACTCTTGGCTATGGCCATGTTAAATTTTAACTCATTATCTTTAAAATGA